GCAAACAATCTAAAAAAATTAAGAAAATTCCATTCACAATAGCATCAAAAAGAGAAAATACTCAGATATAAATTTAAGTGCAAGTCTTGTACACTGAAAGCTACAAAACATTGCTAATAGGAACTAAAGAATATCTAAATAAATGGAGAGATATTCCATGTTCATGGATATGAAGACTCAATATGATCAAGAATAAAATTGTCTTTAAATTGATTACTATCCCTATCCCTGCAGGATTTTTTTTTCTTGAGAATTTGATAGGCTGATCCTAAAATTTATATTGAAATGCAAAGGACCTACAATAGTCAAAAAATTTTAAAAAGAACAATACACTATTCAACTTCAAAAACTTGCTGTAAAGATATAATGATCAAAACTCTGCAGTCATATAGATAAATGGAACAGCCCTGGTAAATTAATTTCTCATCAAAGCTGCCAAGATAATTCAACTGGGGAAAGGATAGGCTTTTGAAAAAAAAATTATAAAGAAAAAAAATTCAGAGACAGAAGTAGATTAGAGGTTATCAGAAACTGAGGGAGGGCCAGCCCCATGGCTCACTCGGGAGAGTGCGGTGCTGATGGTGCCAAGGCCGTGTGTTCAGATCCTATATAGGGATGGCCGGTGTGCTCACTGGCTGAGCGTGGTGCAGACAACACCAAGGGTTGCAGTCCCCTTACCGGTCAAAAAAAAAAAAAAAAAAAAAAAACTGAGGGAAAGGAATAATGGAAAGTCACTGCTTAACAGATACAGAGTTTATGTTTAGGATGACAAAAAAGTTTTGGAAATAGATGGTAACACAACATTGTGAATGTAATTAATTCCATGGAATTGTATGTTTAAAAATGGTTCAAATGGCAAATCTCGTGTTATATATATTTTACCACCATAAAATTATAATAATTGTAGCACACAAAAAAAGAGAAAGATCAGTCTTTTGAACAAATGATGCTAAGACAATTGGATATCCACATGCAAAAAAAAAATTAACAGATACCTCAGACAAACACAAAAATTAACTCAAAATGGATTACAGACCTAAATGTAAGAGCTAAAACTACAAAATTTCTACTAGAAAATATATCGAAAAATCTTTGTGACTTAGGTTGAGGAGTTTTTAGGTATGACCTTTAAAACATGATTCATAAAGAAAAAAAATTTATACTTCATCAAAATGTAAAACTTTTGCACTTTGAAACACACCATTAGAGGAAAAAAAGACAAGCAGCAGACTGGGAGAAAATATTTGCAAATCAAATATCTGATAAAGACATTGGATGCAGAATA